TGCTCTCGTTCGTTGTTGTTGTACCTGTGGAGCTAAGCATTAGTGCTCGACGGTGATCTCTGGAGGACTGCTTTGCTGCGAAATCTCGTCGCTGTTCCTGGCCATGTGGCCGTTCTGTCGTCGTGGGAAACCGGCACCGCGCTCTGGCATGGGACCACGAGGTTGACGTTCTGGTCCGCCTTGCGTAGAGCGCATCTGACCTCGCTCGTCAAAATTGGTGCTGAAAGATCGGTGACCACCGATCGGGCCTGGAGTCTCCCGATCCCAAGATGGGAAGCCTCGAAGACCTCGTGGGCTTCCTGCAAAGCCAGAGCCAAGGTTCATGCTTCCCAGACCATTGATCAGGCCAGTTGAGTCTCCTCGCTCAGCCAGACTTGATGTAGGTGTCATGATCGTTGGAGTGCTAGCCTGGGCGCCATCTCTGGCATACTCTTGCAGACGAGCTACGTTCGTGCTGAGAGAGGCTGGAAAGCTTGCGGTCGATGGCACAGGAGATGGCGTGTACGAGCGAAGGTCTGCGAATGACTTTGCAGCTCGTAGAGGATTGTTGCCGGCACCAAGTTGACCAGCAGCGTCCTGGTAGCCGCTGAGATAACCTGAGGTCTGCGTTCGAAGACCACCAGGACCGTAGAAGCTCTCGGTTGCCTTGAAGTCGCTAAAGTCTGTAGTAGCTGCGCGGTTGAGGGCCCGTCGCTCTCCCTGCAAAGCCTGGATCTGTGGCATGGGTGGGCTCAATCGTCGAGGTTCCTTGTAGACATGCACTGCACGCCCATCAGCCTGGGGCTTAGAGACGTGACCAAGTCCCATGTGATGCGACAGGGTGTGCACGATTCGACGTTCTGTAGGCTCGAGCGTGGCTGGGAACACCATAAGATCTTTTGCGGGGTCCTCCTTGAAGATGATCAAGCGAGTATAGAAGGTCAATGCTTGAGGATCGTTGAGGTCGACATCAGCAGGGATCAATGGTCGTTCTGCAGATGGCGGAAATGGACCTGTTGGTGTGGCTGACGGTGGTGCACTTAGCTTCATGTTGCGTGCAGAAACGGGAGATGGTGAGCTTGCCATACCAACTCGTGATGAAAGCGAACCGACGGACGTTTGAGTTTGCAGAGTCGCTGGCACGATGGGACGGTGTTGTTCCTCGAGCTGGCCTCTTCGCTCCCTCTTCTCGCGCTCGATCCTCTCCCGCTCAGCAGCTGGCAGCATCTTCTTGTACTCCACCCGAAGCTTCCTTCCATTGAGCTCGAAATGGTTCATTGACTCGATCACAGCGGCAGTCTCGTCGGCGTTGGTGAAGTTTGCGAAAGCTAGACCTCGGAAGACGCCATTGTCGAAGTGGTAGTTGAATGCATATGGCAGTGGAAGACCCATGTCAGTCATGATCTGCACCAATTGCTCTTTCTTAACGGCGAATGGGATGTTCTTAATGACGATAGCTGTTGGGATGAGCTCTTCGTCCGACTCTGAGCCCATGATGTCGGATCGCATTTGAGGAGGTGCGAGACCACCAAGGCCGCCCATAAAGGGGTTCATAGGCGGCTGTGGTGGGTGTTGCTGGTCCATCCAGGCCTTACTTGTCAGTTGTAGTCTTACGACAAAAGGAAGTATACTCACATTCGGGATGCCAGTGCGTCCTCTTGAGTTTGGCTTGCGCATACTTGAGCCGCCGCCAAGGCCATTCAGAGAGCCATTTGCTCCGAATGCGTTGCCATTCCAGGACGATCCTCCCATATCGTACCCGTTTCCGCCGTAGCCTCCGATCGTAGCGTTCCTCATGTTGCCAAAGTTGCCGTGATCGAATCGCCCAGGCTGAGTGTGGTCCTCCTGCGTGTAGAGGGACGAAGGTAGATGTGCGTAGCCCTCGAATTGTGATCGAGAAGGCTGTCGGTTCAAGGAATTCCCTCGTTGTGACTGCGGAGAGCGTTGCGAAGCGTTGTCGTAATGCATGTCAAACGTGTAGCTGTTCATGGCTGGTTGATATTGTTGTGTAGCGACGTGGCGATATGCGCGTGACAATGTCCCTCCCTCCTAGATAAAATCCTTTCTTCAGCTTCAAGCAGCCCGGTCGTCGTCGTCGTAGTACAGGATGGGATAGCGAGCGTGATTCTGCCGTTCAGGGTCGTTATTGATGGAGAGATCGTTAGATGAGAAAGCCAGCTGCAATGAAACGGCGAAGAACGTTAATCATCCAAGTCGTGTATCGAGGTACTGGCGGAAGCTGTTTCTGAATGTGCGAAATTCGTGGACCGCGTCACCACCCAGGTAGACGGCCGTCCGTGGAAGAGCTGTCGTTCGGAGGCTGAGCCTGTCGGAGGTATCGTAGCCCAGCAGCGATGCTGAAGAGCCCGTAGATGATGTTGGTTTCACACGTGAGTGTGATGTCAAGAGGAGAGAAGTGAGAGCTGTCAGGAATGCGTCGCACTTTCCCTGTCTTGTGGGGGCTTAATTTTTCCTCTCTCTCTCCGTGTCGAAGTCTCCCAGAAACACGGGAAGCAGAATAACACGACAGTCGATCGAGAGCGAGATGTATGAACCGAGAGAACAAGTCACTTTCTCTTCTTCCAAGTCTAAATGCACATGCAGGCAATGGGAGAACGATGCTGCGGCTCCCTGGGTATATGTTTGATCAGCTTCCCTTCTCCTTTCATCGAGGGAGCCACTTCAGCCAAACGGTTTTTGCCTTAAGATTACTTCCCCTATATGATGACCCATTGGCAGTGCGCCGCTAACGAGCCATGACACCTAGGAATATCTTACGACGAGACGCTGCTTGTCCTCCAGGCGAATCGTCTTGACTGTGGAGCTCAACTCACAGCAAGCAAGACGTATCACCCGACGAAACTGTATCGTGCTGCAGACAAGCCGTGCATCCCCGTCAATGCATTTTGCCGCCGGGCGTCCTTCTGCTGCTGCTGTCCACAAGTGGACCACGTTCGTTGCCTCGCATCATGTCTGCGTCTTTGCTCATCTCCGGTCAAATCATAGTGGAATGCAGTCATCTGAGACATCGACTGGGTCTCTCGGCGGCCATCCAGCCAGCAACGTTGCGAAGAGATGGGCAAAGCCGCGACATGCAGCTAAGCTCGCCCGTCGTTAGGTCCTGCTTCCGCGACCACACCTGTACAGCCTAGGATTGGCTGCACTAGTATCGTCACTCAAAGTGAGCCTGCATGCCTTGCTCACTACGTCCCAGCCCAGGTTGCAGAGGTGCCCGAAAACGCACTCGAATCCTGTGGGCCGTCTGCTGCATGGTCAAGGAGGTGCCGCCCACATGTGCACTGCTGTCTCGCTCTTGAAGTCCTTTGCATTCGCTGAGTGCTCGCGCACCCATCTTGACCCGGCACCAGACGTCGGCCCGCACCTAGATCTCGAAGCACGTGTGCGACCTTGAGTGCTGTGTACACACCCAGGTGCAACCAGTCATTCAAGACTGTTCCTCGATTGCATGCACAGCAGATGTCAGCGTCTTTATTCGGTTTGAACCGACGCCGGTTGACATGTGTTAATCGATGCATGCCGTGTCCTGTTGCATCGTCTGATCTTCACTGATGACGAACGCTGCATGTTCTTGGTGTGGCAACCAACTGCTGATGCCCCACTTCGGTTGCTCACTCATCAATTGTCCAGTAGGTATTAGAGAGTATCAACATTCTGTCATTGGTTCTGACCAGCAAGTTTATGTGCTAATGTTCTCTTCACACATATACTATCAGTCATGTGATCAGGCGAGCCGCCTATAGTCTGTATCTCGCTGCTTCTCGTGAGTTCGTCTGCAGTGCTCGCCGAATGCAGCTACAACGATTCAAGGATGTCGACAAGGGCTCGTGCCGTGTTGGAATCTGCCACCTTTAGCCAGTCTCGAGGACGATTGTGAAGTTATTTCGTGTGGGACCGGGGTTGACCTCAACCTTGCCGAAGCGAGCGCTGGACTTGGTGTTGACAAGGTGCCATAGCGAGTAGACAAGCTTCGAGGTCTGCTTGTATTCCACTTGTCGATAGCCAAGACTCTCCATGATCTGTTGAAAACGTTTGTCGTCGAGATAGCGGGAGTTGGTTGTGCACGGTGCTGGAAGTACGATGAAGAGTAGCGGGAAGGTGGTAGCATTAGCCTTTGTCTTCAGGAACTGACAAGTTCTCTTGAGCATATCGCCTCGCTGCATGGCATCAGGGACATAGTTCAGCACGAGAGACAATGAGATGATCTCGAAGTGTTCACTCTCTCGTTTCGGCAATGGTCGCTGCATGAAGTCTTGGCGCAGAATGCCTACCTCTTGCGAGTTAAGGTCGATGCGTTCGATATCGAAGAGGTTTGACTTTGAGCAAGCGTTACTCGTCGACAATGCACCTACTTCGAGCAGTCGCGGTTTGTAGTTGGCAGACTTGATGTCCATTGCGGCTTCCTGCAGCCATTGCATCAGCACGATCGATGAGTCACCACCGCGATCTTTCGATTGACCAAGAATGCTTGCTTGTTGATAGCTCTTGAGGCCACCAAGCTTGTCAATTTCTTGCTGAAGAGCTTGTGCTTTCGTGGCGTCTCCGGTGGTTGTTGCTTTATGCAGCTCTTTGTGAAGTCGATGATGCGAGCGAATCAGTGTTCGTGTCGCTGCAGCAGATAGTACAGCTTTCGTCTTGTGTGCGGTCGGTGGTCTACCAGCTGATAGCGTCTTGCTATGCTTGCGTCTACCGTTGGCCATGATGTAGCAGAGTGAGATGCGCTAGGGTGGCGGTCTTCCTGTGAGCAGCAGACTTGAACGCTGCATTGTTGTTTGACTATGGCGAGAGTATGACAGTGCTAGATGACATGTCTGGCATGTTGAAGTCTGCAAACAGCATATGCAGGTCGCCGTGTTGCAGTCATGAAACTGCTTCAAACGCCAAGCGGACGTATCAGACGTCTCAAGTGGTCCGAGCGCCATCCCATCCAACTCCATTCACTTCCACCCTGACGAGTCAGATCAGGCCCCTAACACGGCATACAGCCTCTCCTACTTGACGAAGATACCATAGTCTAGTGGTTAAGATGCCGCACCCCCATGAGGAGATGCGGCGACATGGGTTCGAATCCCATTGGTATCGTGTTGGGATGCATAGCTACAGCTCCTGGCGTACGCAAAAGTAGCATGAACGTCGATGCCATCCTTCGTTTCTCTTTTGACCCCGAGAAGCCATATGAGCCAATTACAGACGACAACAGAAAGACAGAAGGACGACGAGCGACGCGAGAGCTGGCAGACGCTATGCACCTGATAGATGTATGTAACGGCAAGATTGGGGAACGATGGAGATGAGATCACACAGCTCACGAACGAATGGCTACTCATATCTCAACATATCATTCATCATACTCATAGGGATCTACAAGACCTCCTTGCATCCAGTCGTAACGCTCCAAACACCGTATCGCCATGCTTTCAGAAAGGACATTATCAGATCTCTACAAGATCTGCTTAAGTTGTTGCTTCTGGTCTGCCGTAAGACTCGTCGGAAACTTGATCTTGATGCCAACGATGAAGTCGCCGCGTTGTGAGGGTGTCTTGCTCTTAGGCATGCCCATGCCAGGGAATCTTTCCTGCCATGTAGGTGGAGTTGGGCCGGAATGACTGACGTTCAGCTGCTTCTTGTCAATCGTTGTCACTGTTTTGGACCAGCCTGTCAAAGCCTCCTTCAGATCGACCTCAACAGTGGCGCGTATGTCGTCGTTGTCGCGAGTGAACAGTGGATGCGGTTTCTCCTTGACCAGGAAGTGTAGATCCTGCACTCCACCTTCGACCTGATCGCCCATGTTCGGATATTTGATCTTCGATCCGGCCTTCAAGCCAGGCTTGATAGGCACACTCAGGATCTTATCCTCTACGCTCTGCTTACCGGTCTGCTGATCGTATGTCTTCCGTTGCACCTTCAGCTTCTTGTTTGTGCCAGTGAATATATCCTCAAGAGAGACCAAGAGCGGCTTCTCGACAACTGTCGTTTCGACTTCTGGCTCCCTCCTCCTGTTGCTGAATCCTCCTCGTCCAGATGGTCGGCCTCCAAAGCCACCGCCTCCGAAAAGTCCTGCCAGATCGTCCTCGTCTCCGCCAGCAGATGACCTGAAGAACTCCGCAAAGACATCCTTAGGATCCGAGAAACCAAAGCCGCCTGCTCCTCCTCTTCCAGGTCCTCCTGTGCTGAAGTGGAATGTCCTGCCGCCGCCTGGTGCACCTCCAAACCCCCCGAACCCACCAGGCATTCCTCCTCCTGCACTGGCGAACGGGTTGTCACCAGCATCACCGCCCATTGGCGGCGGCCCTGCCTTGCCCGTTATGAAGTCGAAGCCATAGTTATCGTAGTTCTTGCGCTTTTCGGGATCTGACAGGATCTCGTATGCCTCACTCGCTTCCTTAAACTTCTCAGCTCCGGCTGGGTTCTTGTCTGGATGATTCTTGAGCGCGTTTTTTCGGTAGGCTTTCTTGATTTCATCTGCGGTTGCAGTGGCTGGTATACCTAGGCGGTCGTATAGTACTGTATCTGCCGGCATTGCGAGGAGAGGTGGAGTGGATGATAATGGCTATGTGATGCGCGGCCAATTGATTTGATTCAAGTCAGAATGTACTCGGTGGGTGTGTCATGCGCTTTCAATGGTACATTGAGTATCGTAAAGTTTGCTGCTGTGCAAGTAAGATCGTACGCTTGTTATGCTTGGGTAGTCACTTCGAGCACATGACGTTGCTGCAGTCGAAGCTTCGAGAAGCTTCTGTGATGTTGTAGACGACGACGACCACAACTCATGGAGAAACGAATGTCAGGACAATCTCCAGCACGACAGAGGTGTGAGACAGGTGTCAAGCTCTACTGTCTACACAATGCTGGAGGTGGTCATATGGCTGTAGTGAGGTCACGAATCGCTGCTTCTTCATCCCCTAGTCGCATGCGCCACCGGTAAAGTATGCTGACGGATTGTCATTCAGATCGCGACATGACCGTTCAACCTGAGCATGGACTGGAACGAATGCCGTCGCAATTGCACTACATGTCGTGCAGACTGTCTTGAGGCGGTCATTGATCTTAACGAGGCGCTTCAAAGCGTCAGGACGAATGCCACCATTGCAGACCTTCATGCAGGAGTCGATCAGCTCGGCGAGCTCTGTGCCGCTGTGAGTGAGCACATCAAGACACTGCCACTGCTCGCAACGGAGGACAAGCGTCTTCTGCAATGCTTCAATGCCCAGCTCGCAGCGAGCCAGAAGTCGATCTCGAAGATTGGCCATGCTCTTATTGAGCTTCGTCCGGCCAAGAAAAGTCTCTTCAAGTCTGTGGTGAGCTCCACGGGTCTCATCAAGACAACCACTGACATGATGAGTCAGTCGCGAAAGCATGACTCCTCACACAGCGAACTAATGGCATGCCTCGACCAGATACAGGTCATCAATACCAACCTCTCGCTCAGCCTGCAACTTCTAAGATTCCAGGCCAACTATCTCGTACCCAAACGCACAGATGGGACAGTGGTGACTCAATTGACTCAGCTGCACTTGGCTAGGGACAAGGATAGACAAAAGCTGGACCAAGCACTTGTGCAATGTGCAGATTACTACCTTCAGCAAGGCGATATGCTTTACGCCCAAAACCTCAACCTCATCGATGTTGACTCTAGGCAACAAGCACAGACAACGGTACAATCTGGTCCCTCAACAAATGCTGCAGCAGTAGGACAAGCAACAAACCCAATTCGCAATGTTGCTACTGCGGGTGACTTCCTAACCGCCAAGCCTTCGCTCATCTCGTTCCTCGGATCTCCTACAGACCAATCGAGCCTGGACTGTCTTGCGTTCTCATTCGACGGGATGACCGTAGCCTGGGGTGTCAGGAAGGATGGAGAAGCTGTGATAGAGCTTCGAGATTCGAGCGATGGCGATATCAAGCGAACACTATCCGGCGGACTGGGCTCTATGCCGATTTCTTGCTTGGCCTTCAGCTCAGACGATACTTTGCTGGCCTCTGGTCACGAGGAGGGCGCTATACGAATCTGGTCTCTGGATAGTGGCAAAACTCCGAGGGTGACTCAATGCACATGGAACGGGCCCTCAAGCTCATCGGGAGTGCCAGCAAGAGCACGCACACTACTTTTTACACAGCATGATCTCCTCGTCTCTCGGCATGCAGACGATGAGCTTCGGGTCTGGAGGAGCGATACAGGGAAGAAAGTGCATCATCGACGAGATTCAGTCAAAGATGTGGCTCTTGGACCTGACGGAAAGTCCTTGGCTATAGTCAACAAGGAGTCTTTGAGCGTAATCGACACAGTCAAGTTCAAGAAACGACATTGCTATATTAGTCATGAAGTCGGCCATACCACTAAGCATGTTGCATGGTCTTGGAAGGGTTTGCTAGCCACTGAGAGAGGCTTTGGTACATGCCAGCTCTTCGACACGACATTCAAGATTATCGGCGCTGCCGGTCCTGGTCGAAAACCGAGCATCGATGCAACCTCACGAATGCTTGCATTAGCGTTCCTACCAGACACGAGACTCTTCGCTATTGCTCGCAATGCGAGTGGTATGGTGTTTGTGTGCGATATTTACCAAAACACCTGGCACCATCTTCATGATGACGATCTCGCTGGCTCAGACATAGTTCAGCTGTCTCCAACTGGCGAGACACTGATCACTGCTCAGCAAGGAGGACGCTACTGTGTCTGGAACATTGCGAAGGTGCTCCAGGTCAGGCCGGAGGTCGCTTACCAAGAGTTCTATGCCCCTAACGCATGTTAAGGCAGGTAGAGTCAATCCTCAGTCTGGCTAGAGGCCTACCACATCCCTTCGAGGTGTAAGGATCGCTGTGGTGTCTTCGATCGGTACCATTCAGTAGCCGCCAACCGGTCCTCTTTTCACAATGAAAGTGACGAAACACGTCGTTGTGGAAGCCGCTCTCGTGTCTGGCTTCAAGGAGATTACAGACAGCCTTGATTCGAGCCTTCTTAGGCGTCTCTTGGGTCGTGCTAGCGCGTGAGAGGACCATACTGTAAGGCAGCTAGTTGACACGATGCAACGTTGAGGGTTGAAGTGTTCGACGTCGGGTCAAGAACGAGTTTACAAGGGATTCGTGAGGGTTTGTTCCTGACTCGCGTGGCTCTCGCGATCACAGCCAAACAATCAGCCACAACACTTCGAGATCTGCGAACACAGGGCGAACATGACAATCGCCGACATCTCGTACGCTCAGGATTCCCCCCATGGTGGCTCGAATGCCGCAGGCATAACGGAGAGTGAATCACTACATGAAGTTGCTCGTGAGGGTGCCTCGCACGATTTCGATATCGACAGGATGGTCCATTTCCCAACTGCAGAAGAGCTCGTGAATCTCTGGGCTACGAACCGTTGCCCGGGGGTCTTGAAGTTCGAAGAGCTTGGTCTTGTCGTCAAGATCGGCCATCGTGAGTACCATCGTGTCAGACTCGATGAAGCCAGTGCGCTGCGATTCATCAAACAGTCATATCCCCTCGGAGAAGTTCCAGTCCCGCAGATCTACGGCTTTCGAAGCCACAAGCAGTATAATCTGCTCTACATGAGCCATGTTCCTGGACAGACCCTGATGCAAGCTTGGCCAGACATGGTGAAGGCCGAGAAAGAGGTCATCGCCAGTCAACTCAACTCGATAGTTGTGGCTTTGAGGTCGCTGACACACGTGACGCGTCCACATCTCATCGGTGAGTCAAAATCTGGGTCCAACTGCAGCGTACATAAGTTGACGGGTCTCAGGTTCTGCTGACGATGGTCCAGAACGAGACATGTTTCTGCGCTGGACTCATCAGGCAGGTGGTCATGACAGCGTGTCAAGCTTTCACGACATGCTCTCAGAGTATACCATCCCAGCTGTGACACGGAGCGAAGCTTTCGTCGATCCATATCGAGAGCTTCTGCCGGACGATAGCAGGGTATTCTTCAGTCATGCAGACCTCACTCCTACCAACATCATTGTAGCAGGACCACGTGGGGAGCGTCGTATCAGCAGTGTGATCGACTGGGAACAAGCTGGATGGTACCCCGAATATTGGGAATACTGCAAGCTCAACATTGGATGTCCAGACGACCACGAATGGC